ATATTTTTGATTTTTTTAGAATTATAAAATAATATAAAAATTAAAAAGTAAAGTATTGAGGAGCGTTGTCGAATAAATCTAATAAGAAAATAAATGAGAAAATAGAGGAAAAAGGGTGGGCTTACCCTCTTGCAAAATACAAGCCCAGTTAAACATGGACTTCTACTTTAAAACCTGCCCAAGTATCGGCCCAAGACCCATCACAACGAACCGAAAAAAAATTCCCCCAAAAAAAAAAAAAAAAAAGCAAACCCCAAACCGACGCCATAAAGAAAACCCTGGAAAAACCCCCAACCAAGAATCCAGTCACAGTACGCTGCGTGCTTACTGCTGTCTCCCTCAGTACAGCAAGTGAAAATGGTGTTAGGGCTTAGGGAATCCACGGCGAGAGTCGGCGACGGTGCCGGTCAACCTATTCTCGACACGGAAGGCGGAGAGGAGCTTATGCAAGTCCAGCCTTCTGTTTCCATTGCGCTTGGCAATCGAGCTCCTGAGTCTCCCGGCACTCTCTACATCACCACCAAGTAGTCCCTCTATTTCTTCCCAAATTCATGCCTAATTCCTGCTTTTTCTGTTTTAATCGCACTGATAATGGTGATGGTGTTGTTTTCTGCTACTAGGCAAGTGGTGTGGTTGAGCGACGTGGACAAGACGAAGGGCTATGCAGTTGATTTCTTGTCTATCTCGCTTCACGCCGTTTCGAGGGATCCAGAGGCTTACTCTTCTCCTTGTATTTACACTCAGGTATGCTGTAGTTGGAACTGTGTGTTTAGATATGAATTTCTATTTACTTCAAGCTCGTTTCTCTTTTTCGTTAAACATAGTCTGTGCTGTTATAGTCCATTTGGCTGCTGAATGCCTTTCCAGTGTAGTTCCATGGTGAAATGAAACTGGGGACCGGAAATTACTTGGAGGTTGGTTGTAAATCGTGCTGGTTTCTTTCTTAGATTAGCTGACATCTGGGAATTAGGTTTTATGGAGGTTGGATGTCTCGTGGGACTTCAGAATTGGTGCAGTCTTAGAATTCCTTGAGTTTGAATTAAAGTACCATAAACAGCATCTTATGTAAGGTACTGGTAGGCTATGTTCCAAAGAGCAAATAAGAAAAAAAGGTAGGTAATCACGTTTCAGTAACAATACAATTTAGAATTTAGTAAGACTGACAAGGGGAACTTTATTTTTATAACTATCGGAATCAATCTATTCAATGATCCTTGAACAACCAACATTATGAATCAAATGATGCAGAAAGTTGCTTTAAGGTTATTTTTATGCTAAGGCTAAAAAAGTTGGTTTTGATGGGTTAAAGAGGAATAAGGAAACAAGTTCAGGTTGCACTTTCCATGAAGGTGATTAAGTCTAGTTGGATAGCTCTGCAAATTCAAACTTAGAACTAGCACACATGGGTTTGGAGAACCTTTCTTTATTCTTTGCCCTATGTTGGACTTCAAACTTCAGTCTGAAAACTTTGTAAACAGAAGACTCACATTCTGATGAAATTTGAATAAAATATGGGAAGGCATTATGAATGTTATTTTGACTGTTTAGTGAGTTTCTTGCTCCTTTTCCCTTCATGCTCCTGCATACGCTATCATATAATTGATGATCACATAGAGTTTAAATGGCTTCTAAAACTACTTTTTATGTTGAGTTGTCCTCCTTTGCTCTTTCTTTAAGCCTCCTTGGTTGCCCATAGACTATGGCAGGAGTGCTTTTGTTTTTGTTGATGTATTTATTTTGATCCTTCATAATAGGTTTTATTGATTAAAGTTCCTTTTATTTCTTTTGATAAGATTGAGACAGAAGATGGTGAAGATGAGTCTGATGGCTCAGATTCAGAAAATCATGAGGTTCTAGATTTATCCAAGGTCACAGAGATGAGACTTATTCCTTCAGATGCTGGACAATGTGTGTTATTTCAGAGCTTCTCTGCTTTGATTGTTTCTATTCTGGTATTTTTGCTATTTAACAGAAAATGCTAACTTTTCTGTTGATTTCTTCCTTGATAGTGGATACTCTGTTTCAGATGTTCTCTGAGTGTGCTGAGCTGAATCCTGATCCAATTGAAGGTGAGTGCCACTACTCGGTGCAGAGATGTAAAGTTATTGACAGCTTATTTTGGTGTTGTATGGCTTTGATTTCCTGCTTTTTACATAATAACAGTGTACTGTCTTTGTTTCTTCTACGTTTTAGAAGATGAAGAAGGACATGGTTGGGTTTTTAGTGCTGATCAGTTGGAAGATGAGGCTAGAGGTATGGTATAGGCGAGACAGCTGCCTTCTCACTGTTTTTCTTTTTTTGATGGCTTGTTTGCATATGTGCTCCTTTAATAACCAAACTAATATGTCCAGAGACTGAAGATTCTGGATGGGAATTCTCTCACAATTTAGTGAACTCGATTGGTCATTCAAATGGCGATCATGACCTAGCTCATACAGTGCTTCAGGTGGGCTGCTAATTTGTTTGGAGTTCTCAAATATGATTGAGCTTTTGTCTACAATTTAGTTTCCTCAACATCCTCTACTTTTTGCTTCAGCTATACATTTAAAGTTTAAACCTCTAATGAGAAATTATTTTCTTACCATATTTTACGTTCTCAATGGCTTCTCTTTTGATAAGAATTTATACTTGCAGCTCCAGATTAATGATCAACGCTTTGAGGATGCAGAAGAGATGGAACATGCTAGCGACAGTGCTCATCAGTGAGTTATGTATGCTTGTTTTTGGTTTAACCCATTCACTAGAAGTTTGTAGTTTGGCAGAGTAAACTAAATGCAACTTGCTTTAACAACCTTCACCCCAAGCATTTCTATGTATACTTTTTGACTGGATTGCACTCTTGCTGTTATTTTATATCCTTTTTATTTTCATTCTCACATTCCTGTATCAGATTTGGATAACATGTAAGACAATCAGGCAGCCTTGTAAAAGATGGGTGACCTTTTACTTTAGATCACACAGAGGGGACCCATCTATTTGTTGAGCATTTCTTCTTTTTCTTTTTCTTGATTAATTAGGTCAAATTGATTTGTTTTTACAAAATAACAAAATTTGAATCTGTGTATGATATTGATAAGTTTTTCAATTTTTTTTTTTTGGGATAAATGGTTCAGTTGCTTCAAGATAAAAAAAAAAATCTAAATTTCTTTTAATTCTAGGGGTAAATAATTCAAATAAAATATTTTGAGAAAATAAAATTACAGGTGAAAAAAGAACAATGAAAAAAAAATTTATAACAGAATAGAGTGGGAGATGAAAAGTGATGGCCAAGTCAAATTTGGAAATAGGGTGCAAAGGTAAAGGTGATAATGGTTGGTTTTGGAAAGACATTGTTATAACAAGATAAGAAATTTTTATCTTTTCAAAATGAGTGGGTTAAATAGTAATTATACGAAAGTCAAACTTTTTGCATGGCCTTAATGTTTTAGTTTGTGGTAGTAACTAGCCTTGTTGGCGGCGATGTGGGAGTTAGTGTGGGGCTTCTTGGGTTTTGTTGGTTTTTATTGTCCTGGAGGTGGTTCTGTGGAGGGCCTATATTGTGCTTGTGGTGAGTGCAATGGTGGCTGGTTTTATGGGTGTCGGTTGTAGTGGTATCTGTTGTCGATTGTAGAAAGGGTTGAGTACAGTGGCTGCTGGTGTTGTGGGTGTTGGGTGTTTGGGTGCAGCAATGCTGGTTGTGGGTGTGTACCACAGGTAGTTTATTATACCTCAATACCATGAGAGCTATGTGAATTCTGTTTGGCTTGATTTCATTGTTGGATTGGTTCATTATTGTAGTGTTATGCTGTTTGATTTGGTTGGAGTTTGGTTTGTGTGTGCTTATGGAATGTATAGGGTTGACAATGTTTTTAGGATCTGTGGGATCAGGTGTGAATTTGATGAGCAATTTGTTTGGGTTTTAGGTTGAAGGGTTGAAGGGCTGGAATGTGAGGTTGGGGTGGTGTTTGCTTGCACGTTTACCATACTTGTGTGTGGACAGAACCAGTAAGGGGGGTGAATTCGGGTGTGGTCTCCCTGAGGATACCAGGTGTAGGAGGTGGTTTCATAAGAGGATGAACAAGAAGTTACAAGGAATTGGGATGGAGAACTGTCTTCACCATGGTTGGTTGTTTTTTTTTTTTGGGGGGGCTTTCGTTCTTTAGATGCAGTCTTCATCCTAGTTAAGGCTCTACCATCGTGTTTCACCGCGCAAGTGCTGGGTTTGGAGGTAGTTTCCAAGTACCCGTGAGTTAGGGGGAGGTGATTGTTGATTGATGTTATTTACGTATTTGTCAATAGTTATTTCCAATTATCTCCTTTTCGTTGTCTAGATGTCTATAGATGGATTAGAGTCGGAATAGGTTTCTCGGCTTTTCTGCGCTTTTTTCAATGTGTACATTGTCTTATGCTGTAATATAAAAATAATTCTTTTTATAAATTTTTAATATATTATTTATATATTATTAAATAAATAAATATATTTAATATCTACTTTTAGTTGGAAAGAACAATCGGCATGGAGATGTAGTGTGACCCTCCACAATCAGCATGGCGAAATTTTAGACTAATCATCAAAACAAGACAAGAAACGCGTTCTTGTTTTTTAGCAGAGAAAGGATTCGATTAGCCCTGCCGGCCTAAAAAATTGATTCCATTTAACCCTTGCAGAATCTACTTATATTTCTATAAACATTCGTCAATGTTAAAGAATAGGAGCAACGCTTTCAATCTTCAAACTTGCTCTTCTACCTCTTTCAAATTAATGTCTATCTTCTCCGGAAGGGTATCTGACATCCGGTCTTGGTGGTGGGATGAACTCATCTTTAAACTGGCACTTACTCTTTTAGCCGCACTAGCCGTTTCATTTTTTTGGATAAAATGTCAAAATATTATTTATTCAATAAAATCATTCTGTACACTTGAGTAACAACCAGTAGTAGAAGCACATTGGCTCAGGATTAGGCATGGGTCCTATCCTGAGCCAAAAAAATTTAAAGAAAGTAAAGGATTTAACAGTCTAGACTTTATCTTGTAGTTGGATGAATTTGAAAGAAAATAAAATATTTAAGATTTTAAAAAACTAAAATGAAAAGAACACCAAAAGAAATATAAAATATTGAAGTGGAAAGAAAATTCAAAAAATAAATACGTAACCAATATTTTGAATAACTAAAATACAAGAGAATAATAGACTTAATATCTTAAAAAATGTTATTGCAAAATTTATTTCTCCTTGTAGCAAGTCAATACAAATGCTTTGATTCATAATTTCTCATTGTTACAATTTCCTTCTTTTCCATTTTTAATTTTTTTTCTCTTTGTTTCTAGCTTCCTCCACTTCCATAGCTTTGCTCAAGTGACTTGAATTTTTAAAATCAATTAAACTCATTTTTAAAAAGTTAAAATTTTATTTTATATCCTCTCAATTAGATCCCTTAAAAACCAAGTATTAACCAATACAAATTTCTCAATATTATCCCATAATTCATCCATGTTACCTTTTAATACACCATCCAACTAGGCCCTCACAAAGCTTTCAAAAAAGAATCTACAAAAATCCTTCTTAATTTATTGCAATAGAAGACGATTAAATGAGAATTGAGAGTTTGATTAGGTTTAGGTGTCATCAGAGAAGAAAAAGAAATTCATATATTTTAAAAGAATATACTATAGTTATAATGCTAATCATGACATGACATTAAATAAGCATAATGTAGTATTAAATTAGTATATACATATAATATTACAAGTAGACTCTTAAATAAAAAAAGTTAATTATATAATGATATATAATATTATAAATTTATAATATCAGGTGGTATTGTAACTATAGTATTTTCGATATTTTAATCTACTAAAATGAAATAGCCAACATCAATTCTTCAATTGGATTTGTAATTTTTTTTTTTTGGTCTAGTCCTTACTCTTCCATTTGTGTCACAATTTGGTCTTTTGTATTTTAATTCTTTATCTACTTTATTCATTCCACATAACTATGGTATATTAATTGGAGGTAAGACAGGAAGGCCCTACCCAAGGAGAAATCCTGGTTCCGCCACTAGCAACAATTGTTGCTACAATCAGTGTATAACTACAATTTTCAAGAAAATCCTACTGCTAAGATTGTATTGGTCGTTGTATAATGCCTTCTAGCCCCCATTGCTCTGCTTCAGATATGGGTAGTGATGAAGAGTTCGGCTTTACAAAGCCCAAAATCTTATTTCTAACATCAAACTGCATATCATGTATAACTGCAAAACAGATTGGAAATGCTGCCTATGAACTCTATTATTTCTCTCCCTCTAGACATAATAAACTGTAGCATTCTAGGTCAGTTTTACAAGGATACAATACAAGGATTTCCTCCTAATCCTCTTCCCCATCTAGGCTAATAAACCTTACCAAGAGCAGAATAAGGGAATTTTTGTTATAGCACAAATAGCTCGCCACATTTGCTTGGTAAAATGACATTGAGAAAAATAGATGAGAGCTTGTTTCTACTGCTATTTTACAGAATAGGTAGGTGTCATCAATACTATGAGTCTATTTCTTCTGCCTATTTCTTGTTGACAATCTATCCAAGAGTGCTAACCAACAAACGAAACTGTGCTTAGGGATTGGATAAGGAAACCATACTAATCTATGCCATGGAAGAACCTTTTCTTGCTTTGCTTTTAGGTAATGCCATGCATTATTTGTCTTAAACACTCTTGAGGTAGAGGCAGTCCAAATAACTGAGTCCTTCTCCTCGCTCTTAGGATATAGAGTGTCAAAAAGGGCTATCTGAATCTGTACAAGTTGTGGGGAGCGAGCAGGAGGCTAGTTTCAAAAATTTCCATTAACCACTTCAAAAACTTTGGCAAATAAGTGCAAACCTGAGTCAAGAACAATTTTAGTTCTATACGCTGTAATTAATGGCCTTGTAGGATGCTAGTAGTCATGCCATAAAAAAAATATCAGTGCCATTACCAAGTACATGTTGTATTAAGCCCTTAGCATAGCATCGGAGCTTGAGAATTTTCCTCCATTCCTAAGATGAGTTAGAAGGAATGTTGAGGAACCGAAAACTCTTCCCTTTTAACAGGTACTCCTTGATCCAAGCAACCCAAATGGAACTTGCCTTTGTGAAAATCATCCAAATGAATGTTAGTACACATGCCTTATTCCAATTAGCAAGGCTTTTTAATCCCAACCCACCTGCTTGTTTAGGGAAGCACACAAATTGCCAGCTAACTTTAGCACCCTTTGCACTTGCTATTGAGCCATTCCATAAAAAAGCACTATAAAGCTTTTCCACCTCCTTGATTACTTTCTTGGGCAAGATAAAAGTGGAGCACCAGAATGTTGTAATACCCTGAATAATAGATGAAATTAATTGTAATCCACCAACAAAAGATAAGTGTTTTGATGTCCAAGAGTGCATTCTCTCAATGATCTTAGATACTAGTGGCTTAAGATCCTTCTTTGTTAACCTTCCGTGATTAAAGGTACTCATGGGTACTTAACAGGGAGCGTACCAATTTTCAAGCTATAGGTTGAGGCAAGATGTGGCATTATGCTTTGAGGAATACCACAACAAAAAAGTTCTAACTTTGCATAATTCACCTCTGAGCCAGAAATAGTATAAAAGCCCTTCAAAATATCATCAACAGTAGCAAGAAAGGATATCTTCCCATTTGTAAAAATGAAGATCATCAGCAAAACAAAGATGAGTAAGATTAACCTTTGCACACTTAGGATGGTAGCCCAACTGCCCATCTAAAACAGCCTTGTTAAGCATTTTGGAGAGGACTTCCATGCATATTACAGAGAAATTATCTGCCAGAAGTACATTGCCATTGCCACTTGGTCTGCTAGGCCTGCCTTTAATTGGAAACCTTCCGTTCCTTGAATCTGAACTACATCTTTACTTTGCCATTGTCTTGGAATAGTGAAATTATTCTCTTTACTCAACAATTTTTCCTTCGTTTGGTTTTTCAGTACTCTCTCTTTGCTTTCTATTTTCCTTCTATTAATTGTGCATCAACAACTTGGGAACACTTGCTCATGGGTTCCCTGCAGTACAAAATGAGAGAAATGAGAACAAGATCATGTTAACATGGAAGTAAGGTAAGCTTTTGGAAGGACAAATGGAGGGAGGAGGGAGAGTTGGCTAACAAATCTCCTAGACTTCACATGATTTCTAATTTCTAAAGGAAAGGAAAGAAAAGTAAGTTAAATGGGATCCTGGGCCAACGGCATGTGGAGATTAAATTTATAATGGAGGCGCAAACTTTTCCTCTTAGGAGGAAGAAACTGTGACGGGATTGGAAAGCTTGCTACAGTGGGTTTCGAGAACACAATAGCTGGGATCCTATCTTCAAACTTGCTCAGAATAGATTTGTTTCTATGCTATATCATCGATATGGATTTTTCCAATCAACACTGTTTGGGTCCCTGATGTAAATTTGTGTTGAAATTCCTCCAGCAGAGAAAATGGACAAAGTATGTGTGTTAGTTACTTTGTCACATTCTTTAGAATGGAAGATACGAGGGGACGTGGCGCTTAACATATCTGAAAAATTCAGAATTAATTGTTTTGAAGAAACGACCCCTTTGGTTGTGCCATACCAACGGTTAGATTGCCTACTATGGATCAATACTCCTAAGGTTTGGCCACTTTCATTTCATTTCTTTAGTTGTGAACTTGATGTTCAAGGCGATCAAGGGAGCGCAATGACCATTTTGAACACCAAAATCCTATTGGTTGGGAAAATTTCAAGTCTAGTATATGGAACTTCAACTAATGAAAAGATATTAATGTCATTATGTGAAAGAGTCGACTCTCCATGGGCAATAAGATGAGTAAAGTCTCTTTTGTTTGAAGTCGACTCGCATCCAATGAAGGGAGGATACATATACAGGCTTCTCCATTCACCTATGCAATCTTATGAACAAATGATCAAGTGATGTTTAAAAAGAGCTAAATCCTAGTTGGCTGAGGTGAGAGGTAGACTTGGATGATTTAGAATATCTGTACTAGTGTTGTCAAAATCTAGATTTAAATCTTAAAATCTTACGATTTTACGATTTCAGCGAGGTATTTCGTGTAAAATCTATACTAAAATCTAAAATCAGTTAAAATCTTGATTTTACTGTAAAATCAGGTAAAATTTCGATTTTACCTTCTGTTTGGCAGTTGGACTTTTTGCCTATTTCCTTTTGGGTTTTTCATCTTGGATTAGTGAGTTTTGACTAGATAATCCATAAATTAAGCTCATTTTTCATTTTAAAAGCTCACGACCCATACAACCCAACCACAAATCAACATTTTAGTCGAGAATTCGGGACAAATTTGATTTAACCATCTAAAATTCTAACTTTAAGTCATCTTCTTCGTTTAATTTATTTGTGTTGTTGAATATTTAGATTTTAATTA